GGGGAGGAAACCAGGACTTGGGGCTCCTTGGGCAAGGCTGTGATTGATGTCAGCTCAGATACATCTCAAGCTCCATCATTACAGCAGAAAGCAGGATTTGTAAAAGGGGGGGGGAGGAGGGAGGAGATTATTTCCCCCTTCCACCTGATTGGATCCCACCTGTACCTCCCTCCAGACCCCACCTGTGCCTCCCTCCATTGGGGGTTGAGAGGGAGACCTGTTTGGAGGCCGCCTCCCTCTTTCCCTCCCCTCACCTCACCTTCCCTCCCTCTCCGCCTCTCTTTGTCTTCCCTGGGAAGCTGTTTATTATAAAGATGTGTTTGGGGAGGGGGCGGGGGGGGGGGAGAGAAAAGGCTCCTTGCATCCAGGTATCTTTGGGAGAGGAAAGGGGGAGAGAGAGGAAGGAAGGAAGGGAGGGAGGAGAGAAGATCCTAGCAATCCTTCTTCCCTCCTCCCACAAGCGACATGGGGTTTCACAGGTCCCTCTCCTTAAAGGGGAAGCAGCCCCCAGACCCATTAAATCAGGGGGTTCAAGGGAAGGGGGAGAGAAGACCCTAGCAATCCTTCTTCCCCCCCCCCCACAAGAGACATGGGGTTTCACAGGTCCCTCTCCTTAAAGGGGAAGCAGCCCCCAGACCCATTAAATCAGGGGGTTCAAGGGAAGGGGGAGAGAAGCCCCTAGCAATCCTTCTCCCCCCCTCCCACAAGAGACATGGGGTTCCGAGAGGCCCTGATCCCATTTATTTGGGGGAAAGGCATCAAAACAGCCCTCCCCACCTTCTTTGTTGAGAGGGGGGTCTTTCTTCCTCTCTCTGGGGAGGAAGGAGAAGCAGACCCATGCATCCCAAGCCATGCACCTTTTGGGGTGATTGGGAGGGGGGTAGAAGCAGTGCATGAGACCCTTCCCAAATTGGAGCTTCCCAGGGCATCTCTTCCTCTGTTAGAGGAATAATAATAATAATAATAATAATAATAATAATAATAATAATAATGGGTTGTTGTAAGTTTTTCCGGGCTATATGGCCATGGTCTAGAGGCATTCTCTCCTGACGTTTCGCCTGCATCTATGGCAAGCATCCTCAGAGGTAGTGAGGTCTGTTGGAACTAGAAAAATGGGTTTATATATCTGTGGAATGACCAGGGTGGGACAAAGGACTCTTGTCTGCTGGAGCTAGGTGTGAATGTTTCAATTGACCACCTTGATTAGCATTTGATAGCCTGGCAGTGCCTGGAGCAATCTTTTGTTGAAATAATAATAAATACATCACACAGTCCTAGACGCTTGGGAAGTGTTCGACTTGTGATTTTGTGATACGAAATCCAGCATATAGATCTCGTTCGCTGTGACATACTGTGCTTTCGTGTCAGTAAAATAATAATAATAATAATAATAATAATAATAATACTTTATTTATACCCCACCACCATCTCCCCAAGGGGACTCAGGGTGGCTTACATGAGGCCAAGGCCAACAATACAGCAACACAATTATACACATAGGAATACTTGGCCACGGTAGTCCACGCTCTGGTTACATCCCGTTTAGACTACTGCAACGCTCTCTATGTGGGGTTGCCTTTGAAGACGGCTCAGAAGCTTCAATTGGTCCAACGCTCGGCAGCCATGATACTAACTGGGGCAACACCCAGGGAGCATACAACCCCTCTGTTGCTCCAGCTCCATTGGCTACCAATTTGCTACCAGGCCCAATTCAAAGTGCTGGCTTTGGCCTATAAAGCCCTAAACGGTTGTGGCGCAAGTTACCTATCCGATCGCATCTCTGCCTACGAACCCACCAGGACTTTGAGATCTTCCGAGGAGGCCCTGCTCTCGATCCCGCCTGCAACACAGGCGCGGCTGGCGGGGACGAGAGACAGGGCCTTCTCGGTGGTGGCCCCTCGGCTGTGGAACGCCCTTCTCACGGACATTAGATCGGCTCCCTCATTGATGGTATTTCGGAGAAAAGTGAAAACCTGGTTATTTGAACAGGCGTTAGAATAGGCAGTGCAATGAATTTTAGGAAATGGAACTACGGATGACGAGTTTGGGTCATGATTCTAGTTATGAGACGCCAATGAATGAATGTTTATTGTTGTTTAATTGCTTAGTCTGCTATTGTGTTAATTGTTTTTAAATACCTTGTTATGCTGCATTGAATTTTTGCTATTATTGTTGTTAACCGCTATGAGTCGCCTAAGGGCTGAGAATAGCGGTATACAAGCGAAGCAAATAAATCAATCAATAAATAATACAACAGTAAAATATAAAGAAAAAAATAAATAGAGTAGAAGAAACAATATAAATAAGCACAACAAACAATATAAAATCACGATAATTGAACACAAAAAAATTGATCACAATGGGTAGGGATGGTTGCAAAGATTAAACGGAAACCAAGGGAGGCATGGAGCCCCACCACCAGTGCAACCAGTGCTCTCCAGTTCCAGGGAAAGGAGGCCCTCATATAGACATTGCAGGCTATGGACTGGATACCTTTGGGGCCCTTTTTCAACCACAAACCTTCACCAACACACCTGTTCATCCCTTATGGCAAGAAAGTCAATACAATCCCTGAATGTGATGCTTGAGAGGGTCATTCAATACCTTGCCCTTTTTCTGCAGAGCATGAATGTCCTTCAGGACATGGATCGGATACCTTGGAGGCCCTTTCCCAACCACATATAACTCAATTTTGCCAACACAAAAGTCAACGAAATTCAAGAATGTGATGCTCCTAAGGGTCATTTGGTGTCACGGAGCATGAATCCCATTCCTTATGGATAGTACATTGCAGGCCATGGATTGGACAGCTTTGGGGATCTTTCTCAACCACATTCCTCAATTTTTCCAACACAAAAGTCCACACAATTCAAGAATAGGTTGCTTATTAGGGTTCATGCAATGCAACCCGTTGTCTTGCCATCTTTCCACAGAGCACGGGTCTCCTTCCTTATGGGTGGCACATTGCAGGCCACAGACTGGAGGGCTCTGGACCCCTTTCTTAGCCAAATCCCTACCTTCACCAACACACCCATTCATCCTTATGGCAGGAAATTCAACACAAACCATGAATAGGATAGGTAAAGGTTTCTCCTTGACATTAAGTCTAGTTGAGTCCAACTGGTGGTTGGTGCTCACCTCCATTTCTAAGCCAAAGAGCTGGCATTGTCCATAGGCACCTCCAAGGTCATGTGGCCAGCATGGAGTGCCATTACCTTCCCGCCAAGGCGGTACCTACTGATCTACTCACATCTGCATGTTTTCGAGCTGCTAGATTGGCAGAAGCTGGGCCTAACAGTGGGAGCTCACCTCACTTCCTTGATTTGAACCACTGACCTTTCAGTCAGCAGATTCAGCAGCTTGGTGGTTTAACCCACTGTGGATACTTAATAGGAAAAGCATGTTTTTTCTTCTTCCTGGGAACTAAACCAAGGAGTTTACCTACTTGCCTACCTTCCTTCCTTCCAGGTTTGTGACCACAATAAATATGTGAGGCCAAGTTATTATTATTATTATTATGCCTGCCTTCCTTCCTTCCTTCCTTCCTTGTATCCTTCTTTCCTTCCTTCCTTCTTTCTTTCCTTACTTTTTTTCTGTCCATTCTCCTTTCTTTCCTTCCCTCATTACAACCTTCCTGCCTTCTTCCCATTCTTCCTTCTTTCCTTCCTTATTTCCATCCATCGTTCCTTCCTTCCATCCATCCTTCTTTCTTTCCTTCCTTCCTTATTTCCATCCATCGTTCCTTGTATCCTTCTTTCCTTCCTTTTTTCTATCTTTTCCTTCCTTCCTTATTTCCATCCATCGTTCCTTCTTTCCTTCCATCCATCCTTCTTTCCTTCCTTCCTTCTTTCTTTCCTTCCATCCATCCATCCTTCTTTCTTTTCTTCCTTCTTTCTATTCTTCCTTCTTTCCATCCATCCATCCTTCTTTCCCTCCTTCCTTCATGCCATCCTTCTTTCCTTCCTTCCTTATTTCCATCTATCGTTCCATCCATCCATCCATCCTTCTTTCCCTCCTTCCTTCCATCCATCCTTCTTTCCTTCCTTATTTCTATCCATCATTCCTTCCTATTTTCCTGCCTTCATTCCACCCTTCCTTCCTTCCTTCCTTCCTTCTTTCTTTCTTTCTTTCTTTCCTTCCTTCCATCCATCTATCCTTCTTTCCTTCCTTCCTTCTTTCCTTCCATTCCATCCATCCTTCTTTCCTTCCTTCCTTCTTTCTTTCCTTCCATCCATCCATCCTTCTTTCTTTTCTTCCTTCTTTCTATTCTTCCTTCTTTCCATCCATCCATCCTTCTTTCCCTCCTTCCTTCATGCCATCCTTCTTTCCTTCCTTCCTTATTTCCATCTATCGTTCCATCCATCCATCCATCCATCCATCCATCTTTCCCTCCTTCCTTCCATCCATCCTTCTTTCCTTCCTTATTTCTATCCATCGTTCCTTCCTATTTTCCTGCCTTCATTCCACCCTTCCTTCCTTCCTTCCTTCCTTCCTTCCTTCTTTCTTTCTTTCTTTCTTTCCTTCCTTCCATCCATCCATCTATCCTTCTTTCCTTCCATCCATCTATCCTTCTTTCCTTCCTTCCTTATTTCCTTCCTTCCTTATTTCCATCCATCGCTCCTTCCTTCCTTCTTTCTTTCCTTACTTCCATCCTTCTTTCCTTCCTCCATTCCACCCTTCCTTCCTTATTTCCTTCCTTCCTTCCTTATTTCCTTCCTTCCTTCCTTCTTTTCCTCTCTCCCTCCTCCTTCTCTCCCTCCCTCCCTTTTTGAGAGGAAGGCTCCCAGTGGGGGGCTGAAGCTCAGAGCAGAGCCCCGAAAGCCGTGCAGCCTGAGCAAAGGAAGAGGCCCGAGGTTTGGGGGTTCAGGAGAGGGCCCAGAAATCCGATGGCCTCTCCCTCCCACTCTTCTTTTGGGAGGGGACACCCCAGGCGGAGTCTCGGAGGGAGGGAAGCCGGGTTGGGTTGGGGCTCCAAAAGAGGGTGGGGGGGGGGGACTGACCCAGCATGGAGAAGACGAAGTCCTTGGCGGTGTGGATCTCGAGGGCGCGCTGGTCCCCGAAGTCTCGGCTCTCGTGCCGGGCCAGCTCCTGGATCAGGCGGGTCAGGTCCGGGAGGCGCGCCCCCGAGCGGAAGTCCAGCTCCGAAGCCGACGGCGGGGACGAAGAGGAGGGGGCGTTGGCGTTGGCGTGCGAGCAAGGCGAGGGAGAGCCCCCCGCAGGCATCCCCGCCACGCAAGACGAGGACGACGTGGACGAGGACGAGGAGGAGGACGAGGAGGAGCACGACGACGAGGCGGCCCTGCCCGAGCGAGCCGGGGCGGCCATGCTGTTGAGCCAAGGAGGGAGGGAGGGAGGGAGGGAAGGTAGGCAGGCCCCCGCCCAAGGCCCGCCCGCCCTCTCGCCTCCTCCTCCTCCTCCTCCCCCTCCTCCCCCGAAGAAGGAAGAGGAGGAGGGCCGCCCTGGCTTGCTCTCTCACCCGAGGGCGCTCTCCCGCCGGAGCGGTGCTGAAGGCAGGCAGGCAGGCAGGCCCCGGACACGCACGCCCCACCCCAGGCCCCACTCCGGCCCCGCCCACAAAAGGGGAGGAGCCAGGACTCCCTCTCGACCCACCCCCCCCCTCCACAGCTGAGCGCAGGAAGATCCGAAGCCTAGGAAAGGAGGAGCCAAGGTTTTCCAACTATGTCTCTCCTACATGGAGTTGTGGTATCTTGTGGGATCTGTAATTCCCCATCAGTGCTGTCCATGTGCCATTGGGATTGTGACAACAGTCATGGGCAGGGGTGGCTCATCCATTACGCGAAGTAAGCGGTCGCAGAACACTTTTTTTGCCAGGGGCGCAGAGGCGCCTCTGTAAATGCCCCTCGACCGCCACTTGAGGAGCGCCCCCTCAGCTCACAACAGCCCTAGCAGTCCGGGGGGAGCCTCGGCTTTCTTGCCTCGCTGCCGGGCGATCCTCTTCCCAAAGGGGCCGGGCCCTTGAGCCTCGCCTAGCCCCTCTCATTCCTGCTCCACCCGGCCACCGAGCAGAGCCGGCACTCAATCGTTCTCCGCATTCGATCCCTTCCCCATGACCGGCTCCCTTTCCTAATCCCCCGGCGCTCCACCCGCCTCCTCTCCTCTCCCCAATCCGCGGGTGGGCCAAGGGGCGGAGCCGCCACGCCTGGCCCGCTTCGGGTCTAGAGGCATGTCTGAAGACCCCAGCGTGTGCACCAAAAGTTGCCTCTTCTCCTGACTTTCTCTTCAGCCATTGGGACCAAGAGAGACAGAGAGTGCGACTGCTTACTTCACATAATGGATGAGCCGCCCTGCCCCCCCCCCCCCCATTTAGAGCTGAGCGCAGGAAGATCCGAAGCCTAGGAAAGGAGCAAAGGTTTTCCAACTATGTCTCTCGTACATGGAGTTGTGGTATCTTGTGGTATCTGTAATTCCCCATTAGTGCTGTCCACAGGGGCGGCTCGTCCATTACGCAAAGTAAGCGGTCGCAGAACACTTTTTCTGCCAGGGGCGCAGAGGGGCCCCTCAACCACCACTTGAGGAGCGCCCCCTCAGCCCACAACAGTCCGGGGGAAGACTCGGTTTTCTTGCCTCACTGCCGGGTGATCCTCTACCCAAAGGGGCCGGGCCCTTGAGCCTCACCTAGCCCCTCTCGTTCCTGCTCCACCTGGCCACCGGGTGCGCAAGCAGAGCCGGCACTCAATCGTTCTCCGCGTTTGATCCCTTCCCCATGACCGGCTCCCTTTCCCAATCCCCTGGCGCTCCCTTCTATTCTGTTTTGGTTAGACCACACCTGGAATACTGTGTCCAATTCTGGGCACCACAATTCAAGAGAGATATTGACTCCAAGCTGGAATGTGTCCAGAGGAGGGCGACTCAAATGATCCAGGGTCTGGAGAACAAGCCCTCTCGGTGTTTGACCACTGGAATGGACCTTTTGACTACGGTTTATCTTGAACCTGCAACAGTTTTTGCTATCAGTTTTAGTTTATTCTGTGACTGAGTGCTCTCTTTATGTTTTTTATTTTGGACTCTTAAAACGGCCAGAAAGTAAGTACTGTTTTAATTAAATTGTTTGGAACAAACTTGGTGTTTGCTTGATTTGTCTCTACCTGAATAAGGCAGAGCCCTGGCATTGTGACGCATCCTCAGAGGTTGTGAGGTCAGGAGAGAATGCTTCTGGAACATGGCCATACAGCTGAGAAAACTCACAACAACCCAGTGATTCCAACCATGAAAGCCTTTGACAATACAAGAGAGCTTGCTTTGTCTTTCTGAACTTTCTGCAGATGATGTGGCGGCAAAAAAAGCCAATGGGATTTTGGCCTGCATCAATAGGAGCCCAGTGTCTAGATCTAGGGAAGTCATGCTACCCCGCTATTCTGCCTTGGTCAAACCACACCTGGAATCACACTGTGTCCAATTATGGCCACCACAATTCAAGAGAGATATTGACAAGCTGGAACATGTCCAGAGGAGAGTGACTAAAATGATCACGGGTCTGGAGAACAAGCCCTATGAGGAGCAGCTTAAGGAGCTGGGCATGTTTAGTCCGAAGAAGAGAAGGCTGAGAGGAGATATGATAGCCATGTATAAATATGTGAGAGGAAGCCACAGGGAGGTGGGAGCAAGCTTGTTTTCTGCTTCCCTGGAAACTAGGACGCAATGGAACAATGGCTTCAAACTACAAGAGAGGAGATTCCATCTGAACATGAGGAAGAACTTCCTGACTGGGAGAGCCATTCAGCAGTGGAACTCTCTGCCCCGGAGTGTGGTGGAGGCTCCTTCTTTGGAAGCTTTTAAACAGAGGCCGGATGGCCATCTGTTAGGGGTGCTTTGAATGCAATTTTAAGTTGAAGGGACTGGGGCAAAGAGACATGAAGACAAGACAAAGGGAAACAAAGACAAATGGAACATTGCCAAGCCAGCAAAAGGTTTAGACAAATGAAAAGAGAAACAAGTCCAAAGAAGTAGGGAATTGGGCTGCTGAATAACTGAGAAAAAGAAGGAGGGAATCAAAACAGACATTGACAAGAAAGGTTCCAGAAGAGAACAAAGAAAGAGAAAAGTTCAGAGAACCTTGTACATGCTCAAAAGTGTTGGCAATAAAAACGAAAGTGTGCCTCAGTCCAGCATGGCACTTTCTACCCTGCAAGGCGACTTGATCAATTAAACATGTTGCATTGATTGGATCAAAAGCTATGGATTTGGGGGCTAATTAAGAAGAAAGGATGTCAGCAAGACCCCTCAAAGTTACAATTTTGTCCTGGGCCACATTCCGAAACATCCTGGGCCTCATGCAGATAAAGATTGGACAAGCTTGGTCCAGATCAAGGGAAGTCAGAATCCCATGTCCTTCTGCATCTTTCATGCTGAAGGTCACACTAATTCTATTGCTATGATTTTTTTACTTACATTTGATCCTTCCTATAATCACAAGGTGGTTTACAAATGTATTGGGTAACAGATTATATGTATGTATGTGTGTATTATTATTATTATTAAACTTTATTTGTACCCCGCTAGCATCTCCCAAGGGATTCGATGCAGCTTACAAAGGCCGAGGCCTCAACACAACAACAACAAAACAATAACAATACAATTCAAAGCAAATTAATAATTAAAGCATAGCAATAACAAACATTACACCATTACACAATAAAACCAGGGCCGGGCCAGTGATGGGTACAGGTTAAAAAAGTGCTGGGTGTGGCTGGTGGTACATTGGATTTCCGGGCAAGTGCAATGTGCAGAGAGTCTTAAACTCTAATAAAGTGCTTTTGGGACTTAGAGCTGGGAGTTATCCTACTCCGGAAAGGCACATCGGAATAGCCAGGTCTTCAAGTTCTTCCTGAAGACTGCCAGTGAGGGGGCCAGTCTAATGTCTTTGGGGAGAGTGTTCCAGAGTCAGGGGGCAACCACAGAGAAGGCCCTGTCCCTCGTCCCCACCAAACGCGACTGCAACGCAGGTGGGATCATGAGCAGGGCCTCTCCGGATGAACAGAGGGAACACGTGGGTTTGTAAACAGAGATGCGGTCACACAGGTAGGCAGGTCCCAAACTGTATGTGTGTGTGTGTGTGTGTATCATGACTGGAATGATCTTGAAGGAGCTGGGGGTGGTGATGACCGACAGGGAGCTATGGTGTGGACTGGTTCACGAAGTCCCAAAGAGTCAGAAACAACTGAACAAATGAACAACAACACCACACCCCCCCCCCCCCACACACACACACACATATATTTCACATTTATATTCCAGGGTTGATCACAGCATATATACGGCAAACATTCAATGCCAGGACAAGAATTCATTATATGCATACATAAACATTAAAAACATTTGTATCAACATTAAATTACACTGTTTAAAACCGTCTTGATCATAACAGTCCATTCCACTCCAAACATCACAGAAGTCCAAACCTAAGCTGTGCTCCGCCTCTCAAACTGAGCAAAACCCATTGAATCTTGAGTCACTGGATTGATATGAAGCCAGTTCATTCCATGGGTCTATTCTAGTCAGGATTAACAACAGGATTTAGGCCTCAATTAAACCATTAGTGGAGTTTTAAAATATCCTTAATGCTATTCATTGATGCCTTTCAATGCTTACACGTGGTTGCATCATAAACAAAACCAGGCCAGTTTTCTTTGATGGTTTTTGTTGGAGAAATTATGGGATTTGTAGCATTCTTTGGCAAGAGAAGGTTCAAGACCTTGTCGAACTACAATTCCCACTTTTCTTTCGCATTGGGCCACAGCAGTTAAAGGGGTGAACAATTAGGTGAAACTGGGCCTGACCTGAGAGAGAAGACTCTATGAGCCTGGACTAGGATTCAGAATGATTTCCCCAAAACAAAGTGGCAGTCAATGAAAGAAGTTGCAACAAGGAGTTATATAGCCATCCCTCCATATCCACCAATTCAACAACTTTGGCTTTCACTATCTAGAGCTTTTTATGGGTTTTGGTGGTTAGACATTGGGTCGCACAATGTTGGGGCCACAGAGGAAGAGGCTGAGTGAGACCTGGCTTGGAAGCCACCCCAGGGCTTTGCAAGCAGAACCAAGTCAACAGTGTGATGCAGCAGCTCAAAGGGGCAATACGATTCTAAGCTGTGTCCAAACAAGCGCAGTGCCACCCCTTCAGTGGGCTAAAATGGAAGGACGAGAACTGTCACTTCAAATGTATTAATGACTAGCTGTCCCCTGCCATGCATTGTTGTGGCCCAGTCTGTGTATATGTGTTGTGTATATGTGTATATATGTGGTGTTGTGCATGCATTGTAATGTATTTTTTTGTGTGTTTTGGCTTTTTAAGGTGTTTAGAGTGGCTTGTAGGTGGTCTTCTGAATGCGCACTGACTATGTTATCATCAGT